CACCCTCAGCTTCCCCCCACCACCCTCAGCTTCATCCCCCACAACCCTCAGCCACATCCCCCACCACCCTCAGCATCACCACCCCATTTTTTCGACTGTAATAGATTGAATAGCAGTTAGTTGTCTGCAAGCGTGTCAGGCCTACAGCGTCTACTCTGCCAACTTGCCACTGCACAGTGCCACTCATATCTGTTGTCACAGTAGCTTGCACGCATAGTACCACTAATCGAAAAAAAATGACAGGCAGAGGCAGGCCACCCCGCAGGGGCCGTCGTGGTCGTGGTGCTGTGATTCCCTTTGGCCCTAGAATAATGCCCAGTGTTCAGAGGCCACGTACCCTGAACTCAAAAAGTTCTGAGGAGATAGTTGACTGGCTAACACAGGACACCCAATCTTCTACAGCTTCCGCTCGGAACCTTGACGCACCTTGGCTTTTCCCTGGTTATTCTGAATTCTGGTTTCCCTGACTTGGCTTTCCCTTTGACCATTCTCTGTCTCTAGCGTATTAGTCCGGCCATTCTAAGGTCCGGTTTACGCTCTGTCCTTTTATTTTCCTTTTCTTGCCTATGTATATGTTTGTATAGTTTCTGCGTGCTGGACCACACAAGTAGTCGTGACATTGGGATTAAACTGATAAGAATAGTACTACTTAACATACCACTCCTATCTGGTGGCACATTAGATTGCACGCGCAGTGCCCCAAATTTGAAGTAGGAGGACCGACCAAGCATCTTTTTCTATCTCTCGGTTCCTAAAATCGATACCATATACATGTCCCCTGATAGGGGATGTAACAGGGATTAAACTGATAGGAATAGTACTACTTAACACACCTTATAATAACGCAGAGAGAGGCAACGCAGAGAGAGGAGTCTGAAGAAGAGGAGTCAGAGGAGGAAGGTGGCTTTGAGGAGGTGGAAGACCAAACACAGCAGGCGTCCCAGGGGGCTTGTTGTCACCTTTCGGGGACCCTTGGTGTTGTACGTGGCTGGGTGGAGGAAAAGACCTTCAATGACATCAGTGAGGACAAGGAACGGGACATGGCTAGCTTGGTATCCAACCTTGTGCAAATGGGGAGTTTGCGGTTGTGCAAATGGACTGTTTGCGGTGCGTTAAACGGGGAGTTTGGTCTGTCACTGTGAAGCGGGCGTAACCCTTACACTACCTGATCGATACAACATCATACCTGATGTTTTAAAGCACCTTATTCCAAACAATTTAGGATTTATGCCCTTTATTGATTAAAACAAGACTCTGCATCAACTATGTAATTTTCCATGGGAGTTTTGCCACGGATCCCCCTCCGGCATGCCACAGTCCAGTTGTCAGTCCCCTTGAAACAACTTTTCCATCACTATTGTGGCCAGAAAGAGTCCCTGTGGGTTTTCCACCTGCCTATTTAAGCCTATGGCGGTTCGCCCGGTTCGCGAACATTTGCGGAAGTTCGCGTTTGCCGTTCGCGAACCGAAAATGTTATGTTCGCGACATCACTACTATTAATGACACAAATGTGTTAATTACTGACATGACATTTTCTTAGGGTGTAATTAAACAAAGAAATGAGCTAGGTATTTTAAATATATTGCTTTGTTTGTCATTCTTCAGGATCCAGCCTAGACTGATCTCTCCGACATTTGGTTTTAGAGACTTTATAAATCATGGGGCACAAATCCAAGTCAAGCCTCAATTCATTGCTATCAAAGTCTAAGTCAAGTCACAGGTCTTTTATGATTATGTTAGTCAAGTCGCAAGTCATCAAATTTGTGACTTGCGTTCGTCAAGTCCAAGTCATGCGACTCAAGTCCACATCCCTGAAAAATATTGAGAACAATATAACCAACTCTCATAAAACCCTCTCACTGAGGATTTTGATAGCTCTGTCTATTATCCTTTCTCTCAATGCGGATGTCACACATCTCTTTTTGCGGCTTGTTATCCATTAGACAAATGCACCTCATGTCATAGGGATTCCATCTATTTCCTGTTTCTTGTTGTTGGCCGTGTTCTTTGGTTCCCACTTCAATTCTTAATGTCAGTGTTCTGTCATAGCACACAGGACTACATGGATAAATAATAATTTCTTAAGGTGCCTCCACCTCCTTGTGGAATTGAATCAATTGAAATTTATCCTTAGCATTTTTTTTAAGAGAGTTGGTTGAACCACTATAACAATTTTTACTGCAAATGTCTGAAATGAGTAAAAAAAATATATATATAAATCATCTTTGTCTTCCTAGCAATAGCATACAAAGAATGAGCACATTTCACAGGTATTAGACAAATGCAATTGTTTTTAAGCAGCTACATCATAACTTTTATCTTGCATAAATGCATTTGGCTATACCGTAGATAAACCATAAGGGATAGATAATATAACCACTGAGGAACTAGATGGCAATATACTGGCTGGCCTAATAATAGTAACATTAACAAGTATACTTTAAAAGCAAATCTAACACCCGATTAATATGTTGTACAAACTAGCTGCGAAAACAATTGGATCGTCAATTACATATGACAAATAATGTCAGTATCGTTGAATCAAAACAGGAGCAGAATACATATTCAGAATTGATATATTATGTGTGAATCTGGTTAATTAGTTCACTAGTTCACCAATGTGAGAGTGAAATGACAGACGAAGCTAAGGATGATGAGGAAAAGGAGCCGAGAGTCTCACCAGACAGACAGAAATTGAGATGAATTTGAAGAAAACACGAAGAAGATATGAATCGGATGAATTGACAAATTGCAAACACACAGAGATAATACAGAGTGGAGCTGAATGACAAAGTGAGGAGTGAGAATTCTGGCATATACCCAAATTAAATTGTTCTAGAACTTTAGCCAGTGACAGCCAATCATATGAACGCTGTGTTGCTTTGTGTAATATTTTAAAATGTTACTTTACAAACCTGCATCTGTCAAGCCTTTCTTTGCATGTACAAAAGAAGAAAATAATATGGGCCGTTTGCCCTCTTCTAAAACTTGATAACCTACTTATCCAGTTCTGATTTAAATGGGTATTTTACTTCATTTGTTTTAGCTTGCTTTCTCTTGTCACATCTTCATTAATAAACTGGCAATTTTTGTTGGCATTTTCGTATTGTATAAAGTATGCCACATATACGTCTCTAACATATAATTTAAAAGTGTACTACAGTCACCAGAACGTCTACATGTAGTCTGTAGCATGTCCCTGCAGGTTGAGCAATGAAAACACTGCCTTTTCATAGAAAAGACAGTATTTACATTGCTGCCTAGTAACACTTATAGTAGCAGTCACTCAGACGATCTCTAGAGGTGCTTCCTAGTCCAGTGTCTCACAGTGTGCAGTACATACCTTCACACACACACTGCATGGAGATGCTGAACACTCCCGATACTCCCCATGCTTTGATTCAGTGCTGATTGGTGCAGCACAATCAGGACCAAACTGGCCCACCGGTATAGTGGGAAATTTCGCAGGGGGCCGGGTTGACAGCCCTATTCATCATTACTCCTGTAATGCCGGCCGGCCATGTGCGAGCTACAGGGCCCGATGGGAGAAGACACAGCTCACACATGGCTGGCCGGGATTTAAAAAATAAATAAATATTGCGGCAGGGGTGGAGCTTAGCGTGTTGTGGGGCGGAGCTTAGCATGTGGCGGGGCGGAGCTTACTGTGCGGCGGGGGCCCTGGTAACTGCAGCATGGGAAGCAGGAAGAAGTCCCTGCTTTCCCAACAACCAGGAGCTCCAAGGGATGTGGAGGTAAGAAGCAGATCAGTGTGTGTGTGTGTGACTGCCTGTGAGTGTGTGACTGTTTGCCTGTGTGTGTGACTGTCTACCTGTGAGTGTGTCACTGTGTGTGTGACTTTCTGCCTGTGTGTGTGACTGTCTGCCTGACTGTCTGCCTGTGAGTGTGTCACTGTGTGTGTGACTTTCTGCCTGTGTGTGTGACTGTCTGCCTGACTGTCTGCCTGTGAGTGTGTGCCTGTGTGTGTGACTGTCTGCCTCTGTGTGTGACTGTCTGAGTGTGTGTGTGACTGTCTGCCTGTGAATGTGTGACTGCCTGTGTGTGTGACTGTCTGCCTGTGTGTGTGTGACTGTCTGCCTGTGTGAGTGTGTGGCTGTCTGCCTGTGTGTTTGACTGTCTGCCTGTGTGTGTGTGTGTGTGTGTGTGTGAGAGAAATGGTCTGCCTGTGTGTGTGCCTGTGTGTGTATGACTGTCTGCCTGTGTGTGTGTGTGTGTCTGTCTGCCTGTGTGTTTGACTGTCTGCCTGTGTGTGGTCTGCCTGTGTGTGTGACTGTCTCTGTGTGTGTGGCAGTCTGTGTGTGGCTTTCTGTGTGTGGCTGTCTTCCTGTCTCTGAGTGTGTGTGGCTGTCTGCCTGTCTCTGTGTGTGTGGATGTCTGCCTCTGTGTGTGTGTGAATGTCTGCCTCTGTGTGTGTATTTTCCTGCCTCTGTGTTTGTGGCTGTCTGCCTCTGTGTGTGTGTGGATGTCTTTGTGTGTGTGCATCTGCCAGTGAGTGAGTGAGCTTCTGTGTGTGTGTGTGTGTGTGTGCGCGCATCTGCTTGTGAGGGAGCATCTGTGTGTGTGCAACTGCCAGTGAGTTTGTGTTTGTGTGTGTGCCTGATAGTGAGTGAGCTTGTATGTGTGTTAGTGAGCTTGTCTGTAGGGAGCATGGGTGTGTCTGAGCCTGTCTGTGGTGAGCATGTGTGTGCAGTGAGCTTGTCTGTAGTAAGCATGTGTGTTATAGTGAGCCTGTCTGTAGTGACCATATGTGTGTCAGTGAGCTTGTCTGTAGTGAATCTGTGTGTTAGTGAGCTCTTCTGTAGGGAGCATGTGTGTGTCAATGGGCTTGTCTGTAGGGAGAGTGTGTGCGCATCAGTGAGCTTGTCTGTAGTGAGCATGTGTGTGTATCACAGTTTGTCTGTACTAAATTTGTGTGTGTACCAGTAACCTTGTCTGCGTGTGTCTTTGAGATTGTCTGTCAATGAGCCCATTTGTGTGCATCCGTAAGATTGTCTGTGTCTGCATGTGAGTATGCTTTACTGTATAATTTAATTGCCCTGAAAGGAGTAATATTTTTATTTAGAAAAATAAATATACCAATAATATATATATATATATATATATATATATATATAGATAGATAGATAGATAGATAGATATAGATATATATATAGATAGATAGATATAGATATATATATAGATAGATAGATATAGATATATATATAGATAGATAGATATAGATAGATAGATATAGATATATAGATAGATAGATATAGATAGATAGATAGATAGATAGATATAGATATATAGATAGATATAGATATATATATATATAGATAGATAGATATAGATAGATATGTGTGTGTGTATATATATATATATATATATATTTATATATATAACACACACTACATAGCACAATGACTTATAGGGGTGGCATAGATTTTTTCCAGGGCTGCTTCGTATCCCCAGTCCGGCCCTGAGCACAATTCTTTGCCATGCATGCAAAGTAGCCTCCCAATGGTTTCCTATGAAAAACATTCGATTAACTGAGGTCATCAAGACTGATGATCTCAGCCATGGTGGTGGGGGCCACCTGCGGTATGGCGATGGAGAAAAGGGTAAGTAAAATCACATTTTCACTATACAGGTAGGGGAGCTTGGGGCCTATACAGTTATTCCAGAACTATAGAGTTTGTATTCCTAACTCTATAATGTTCCTATAAATGCAATTTCCCTTTTTACATTTTGTTATTACTTAGAAAGTTTTTAACATTTTAGCAGAGCTTTATCAAAATCATTTAAATTTACTTCTTCTATCGTTTCCAAGAAGCCTGTGATGATAACAATGGTGTGAAGCAGACCAATTCTGGTCAATATTTAATAAATTTACATTATTAGAAAAACAACTAGATGTAAATGGAAATCTTTTTTCTTTATAAAAAAATATCCTACTTAAGCGAAAGTATGTCATATTAATGTATCTATTCAGTGAGTAATAAAAGCCTATGGCAGTCCTAATAGTTTGCACAAGTAGATCCCACTGATTTCAGTTGTCTCAATGGTTAATTTAGTATTCTTGAAAATGTTAG